TAATAGAAAGACTTTACATCGAGCCACCTGGCATAATCTTGATGCCAAATATGACCATAAACAACACCACACACACACACACACACACACACACACACACACACACCTGTTTAATTATTTTCATCAGAGTGGATGCAAAAAATCAGTTTACAAAGTTCTGCAATATATTACTAATCATGCTTTTGCTTTTAGCAGTTTTGGAAGAAAAGAATACCTAAAGACCGAAAGAGAACATTCTTTCCAAGAGCACTGAACACTCCGTTGACCTAGAGACGGGACATAAGCATTTCTCTTTTTCTTTTTTTTCCATGAGTTTGGTACAGGGTCCCATTAGGCAGCTTGGACTCTGTGATCCTCCTGTTTCAGCCTCCCGAGGCCTGCAATGCCATGCCTGGTTTCAGAGGTGGCACAGTGTGCCTGGGGTAGGGCCTCATGGCATGTAGTACCAGGGATCACACGCAGATCCTGGCACTTGCCAGGCAGGCACTTAGACCGCTGAGCTATATCCCCTGCCCAGGACATCCTCATTTCTAGCTATCTTTTATTTACTGTAGATAGGAGTGAAGAAAGATAATAGAAGTATATTTCAGAAAGAGCCCATATCTCAGTCACAGGTATCTTCTGGTCTCGTGGTGGTGTTTTCGTTCCATTCCTAGTGGAATCAACTTCTAATCGTATATGTATTAGAAATACTTGTAGCAATGCAATGCCAACACATCATGCTGCCGTGAAGCACTGTCCCCAGTGCTGGGAATCTAACAAACAGGACCTCAGGTGGCTCAGAGAACGAGGTGATACAAAAACGTCAGCCTTGGTCTAGACACGGCCCCAGCAAGGGGGGTAAACAGTTCTGCTCCACTCCGAATGCTCCAGACACTGGAGGAGGCTCTGAAGCTAGGAAAGTAATCTTAGAACTTCTAGAAGAATGATTCATCACGGGCCCACTCCAGAACTCCAATTATTAAACAGGAATGGACCTGTTAGTTCTCGGACTTCACAATGTCTGAGAAATGCTGGGAATAGCAGCCACTTCTAAAAAGTGCTGGATTTTCAGGTTACAAAGTTCCTAGGGCAACCTAATCTACTGATACCACACACCCCATGATGCCTTGATATGGGTCAGATAGTTTCAGGTTTCTTCCAAGTTTGCAAAAATATTGATAATCTACAAAACCTGTATTATGGGTCATACTACAAATCTACTTTGGACTCTTCTTGACATTTTTGTAAGAAAAAAAAACAAATATATGTTATGCTCCAAATTTTATTGATTTTTTTTTCCTTTGGAAATAGGTATTGACATCTGATTACTGTTTAGGATTATTTAAGTAAGACTGATAGGCAGCCTAAATTTTATAAAAATCCACCAACATTTTATGATGGATTTTATCCACAACACAACCACTTATTTTTTTTTGTTATCAAAAATAAGAAAAAGTCTTCTTCCCAAAAGAAAACTTTACCATGATCTCCGATGACAGAAGAAGTGCACCTAAACAAATACAGTGTCACCATCTGCCTGGCAAGCTCACAGTGTGACAAAATAGACTGGTAATTAACTGCTTTCCTACCGAAATCTGCCAGCTTTAACTCCCCCGTGTCACTGATCAGAAGATTCTGGGGTTTCAGGTCTCTGTGCAAAATATAACGCTGGTGGATGTAAGACAGCCCTCGCAGCAACTGAAATAAAAACAACTGAAAAGACAGGGAAACAAAAGTTACAATCTGCATTCACATAAATGCTGCATTCACTTAGCTTCTACATACAGCACGCCAAGTATCTGTATTCCGTGAAAATAGATACTCATAGCTAAATTTCCTATCAGATCATTAAATAGAATGTACGATATTAGCATGTAAGTTCCTAATTTATTAAGAAATAGATCTGGTAATTTCTAACAGCACGGAGACTACCTCCTCAGCCAGCCAGATCTACTCCTAGTGTTCCAAAAACTAAAGGAAAATATTTTTAAAATCAAATCTTCATAATGTTTTATTTCCTCGGGCTTAAAATGATAAGAGAATCTATAAGAATATAAAGGATAAAAAATACATAACTATTTACCAAGTTTATATGAATGTGTATATATTTAATTCTGTAGAAATAACATAAACATAATATAGATGGGTTTACTCATTACATGCTTTAAAGAAATGAAAAGATAAGATGATGTGAAATAATTGAAGCAAAAGCAGTCACGTGGTCCCATTAATAGCACACTGTGATTACGCTGCGTGGGCACCCGTGGCCAGAGCGAGCACACTGCTGCCTAAAGACAGACCTGTACCTTGACTAATTACAGAGCACACTCATCCTCCAGGGAGAGGAAACAGAAAACAAAGATGTCACAAATTTGAGAGCAACACTTTCACAAAAAATAATTTAACAAGTCACTAATAACCTTTGTGAAGTTCTATTTTGGATTTCACCAAATGTTTACAGTTTGATAACAAAATTGTGATTACTAGGCTTCCCAAGATTCTTCTTCTTTTTTGGGGGGGGGAGGGTGGAACTAGGGATTGAATTTAGGCCCTTGTGCTTGCCAGAGAAGCACTTAATCCACTGAGCCATCTCCCTGGCCCCAGAGTCTATTTTGTGTTAATCTACATTAAAATACTGTCTCCTAAGGATCCCAGGAAACAAACATCTCTCTAGACTTCTCCTCCTCTCAACCTTCCCTATACAGGAAGAAGAGACACCACTGGAAGCAGCTTCCAGCCCACTCCTCACTTCTAACACTCACTGCACCTGAAGTTTAGTTTACGATTTCTAAAAAGAAAAAAAAAATCATACTCATTTAGGAAGGAAGAAAAAGTGAGCCAATTAAACCATTTTGTATTTCAAACGTTTTAACGCCTGCACATGCACACAGGCAGACCACATAAAAATGCAAATTTAAAAAATAAACAGTCTGAGGGCCGGCCCCATAGCTCAGCGGACTAAAGTGCCTGCTTAGGTACAGTGCAAAGGCCATGGTTCGATCCCCAGCGCGCCATGCTGGCTCTGGCCTCGGGATACACAGAGGGGGCTATTGAGACTGGGCGTGGGGGTGCGTGCCTGTAATCCCAGCACTTGGGAGTCTGAACACTGGGGGATCACTGCGAATCTGATCCCCCTACGTAGTGCAATCCTGTAGACCCTGTAGACCCGGTCCTAAATATAGAAAATAAATAAATAAATAAATAGTCTGAAAATGAATAGTCTGGCATTCTACAAGATGCTCACTGATCTTGGGGAGCCATCAGCAAGTCAGGTTGTCTATTTAACCGTGGCAATTAATTTCAATTTAAGAAGCCAGATATTGATCTATGCACTACAGTACCATCTCATCTAACTGCTGCAACCACTTTAATGGGTAGATACTACTACTATCTCCACGCTCGTCAGGAGGAAGCTGATTCATGTTCTCAAGATCACACAGCAGTGCAGCAGCAGAGCCAGGGCTCAAACCTAGTTTGCCTACGAAGATTACGGCCTTCACCACCCCTCCTATGGAAACTGGCCAGAACGCAATCCACTGTGCTGACACAGCAGCTGCTTCTTCCAACTGATAGACAGAATGTGGACACGTAACAGCACGGGCTCCACGGCCACTCAACCCAGCTCTCACCGGCAGGGGATGCTCAGCCTCACTGCTCTGCATCCTGTGCTTCCCAGAGCCGCCCTTCCTCCACACACAGTGCACGCTGCTTTCCATCTCTTCCCTCAGCTCTCGCCTCTGCTCCACCAGGACAGCCCTCTTGCCCTTGCCTGCTGAACTCCGTGTACCATGCAGGTGGCTCCTCGGGACTCGGCCCTCCCTGCAGCCTTCTCCAGCCCCCTCTCCAGGTCCCCTCCTGCCTCCCCACAGGCCTCTGTGAGGCTCTCCTCCTCCTGCTCCAGTATACATCCTGGCATTACCTACCTCCCACACACTGTGGGCTGTATTACCCACATCACTTGAGTACGTAACCGGAATTTCTATGCCACCAGTGGTGAAGTTACTGAATAGAAATTAGAGACATCTGGATGGTAACAGATTTCAAATCCAAAACAAATACAGAACCCTACAACAAGATTCTCTAGAAGCTAAGGGCAGAAGTGGGTATATCAAAATACCGAAGAGCTCTTTCTTTAATACCTCTACTAGTGAATGAAAATATATAAATCCCGTGCTAATCCAGAAGCTATTCAAATAGGCTATCAGGCTAAAGGGGATTAGGAAAGTCAGCATGAGAAAAGGATCCCACTATCCGCTTCAGCTGTAAGTGCACACAAACACCAAACATGGCACAGCCCAAAACAAATGTTTAGGTTTTGAGCAATGCGAGAAATTAAGTAAAAGCAAATGTCTATAGAGTTAATTCACCGGGGATTTATACAGTACCAGCCACATATGTTAGGTAAGGGGGATGAAAAAATGCTAGAAAAGATACCAGATGTGGTCTCTGGATTCAAGCAACTCACAGTACATCAGATACGACACAGACACAAACAGACGAGGCTAGAGAGATCTACACCATAAAGCCAATGAGTGTACCAAAGGCAGGAAGGAGGGAGGGTTTGACAACAATGTATTAGAATTAATTCTGCCATCAAAGAAAGAATAGCCCGGGAGAAGTGAATAAACCAGAAAATCAGGAAACTTGCCACTCTGAAAATAGAATTGATTACATGGAAAAATCTTCAGGCAACTGAATTGCGCATTTATTAAATACAGAAGGTGGAAGAACGATATGATAAGCCTCTGCTATTCTATAGGAAACATTAAGGAGATCAAACAAACAAGTGTATTAATTCACTTCATAAGAAGTTAACACAAGGGCTGGGGAGATAGCTCAGTAGAATAAGCGCTTGCCCGGCGCTTATTCTGTCCTGAGTTCAATCCCCGATACCTCAAAGAAAAAAAAGTCAACACATAAATCTGTAACACTACTGCTCCATTTCTCACTACAAAAATAATGGCAGAAAGGGGACAATGAAAGACTCTATTGAAGTCATTAGAGAATTAGATGTTTTACTGACCCCATTTTAATGTGGTCGGCAGCCTACCAGTGGGGCTAAGGACCCCGATCCCATGCGCTACTCTCTGGACTGTCCAGAGAACTCAACACCTGGAACGCCTTCCACTAGACAAGCAAGCAAATACTTGACTTTCCCACTTCAATTTTATGCCATGATACAGCAAGCTATATTCGATCTTCGCTGATCAAAGTCAGGGCTACACAGAGAAAGAGTGAGGTTTGCTGTTAAAAGTTGACAAACAATGGAGTTTCAGATACTGAAAGGGAAGTAAGAGAGTAATACTAACTAAAAGCTTACTATAATTTAGAGGCTATTCCTAGTACTTTCACTTATAGTACTTAATCCTGTCTATCTATAACCCTGTAATTCTTTTCCTGTTCAAGCAAATGAAACGTCTAAGAGTAAAAGAACAAAAAACTTACTCAAAATCACCAATAACCACACAGTGCCGATGAACTTTACATCACATCTCATCATTTTCAGTGAGGCTGATGCTTACTAGATGAGTGGATGAGTATGGTCAGACACCTAAATAACCAAGGCACTGTTATTGTTAAGTAGTTTCAAGTTTTTAAAAGCCTCAATTTGGGTATGATAGAAAGAACACTTGCTTCTGAGTTTCTGTTTTTGCTCTTTTTTTGATGTATTTAGTACAGGGTCTATAGTGATTCTCCCATTTTTTGCCTCCCAAGTGCTGGGATTACAGGCGCACGCCAAAGCGTGCCACCACACCTAGTCTCAGTCACCACTTCAGTGCGTCCCCCGAGGGTGAGGCCAGCAAAGCACACCAGGGATCAAACCCTTGCTGCTGCGCTCTGCCTAAGCAGGTGCTTTAGTCTGTGAGCTATCTGGCTGGCCTTGTTTTTGCTCTTTAAACTCTACTTGGGAAGAAGTTTTAAAGTAGCTGGCAAACAGTACATACTATAAGTGTCAGAAGGCAAACTCACATAATAGCTAATAGATACATTACATCTGAAACTGTCACCCTATTTTTCTAACGTAGTAACCATAAGGTGTTCCTAAAAACACTGTTTCTTCTTAATATTCTACTTATTCTCCACTAAAAAACAATTCCTCTAAATCCATCAGTATGATTACTGATAATTTATATTCTAGTTTTAGTACATTCAATTTCTGTAATGAAAATGCCAATGAGAAAATAGCTTAAAAAGCAACAATGTGATGACAAGTGACACCTGTGAACAGGAGATCTCCGAGCAACCACCCTCCTAACGAAGCAGCATGCACGCACGCTCAGTGCCACAGCACATACTTCTTAGGAGTATCCTTAACACTTCAGAGATTGCCTTCTAAAACTCTAAGGTCAGTGAAAGCATCAAAATGAAATACTGTATCACAAGCTTTACAGTAGCTAGTAAGCATTGCATACTATAAGTCAGTGATGAATGCACTGTATTTATTGCTCACTAACATTTATAGAGGGCAACAAGCTTTATAACCAATCCTTGCCACCAGGGGCTGAAGATGTGAGATCAGTCGGCTTTTTCACAGTGTCTAGAATTCTACACTCTATGAATGATCAGAAATGTATGGGTTAATACTGTGCCCCACTCGATATCCACAGATTCTGAAGGCACAAATAACATTAAGGAATGGTCAGGGTTTCTTAAGGATTACGGGAGACTAATAAATCCACTAATAAGAGCTATTAACAATGTCCCCCAATCCC